CGGGTTAGCATTAAATCCCTCCTTAATCCAAGCTCTGAAGAGTGAGGCAGTCAAAGGGCCCTGGCAGGAGAGCTAAAGAAATTGTCGGATTAAAGAGGAGCGGAAAAGACATTAGTTGTTAAAGGAAGAGGCTTTTTCCCAAGAAAAGCTGACAGCACGAGGCCAGGTACAGCCCAGGATGGGAAGGGCACCAGGGCACAGCGGAGGCAGAGCCGAACACGCTACGAGCGCGTTACCCCGTCATCCCCTGCGCGATAATTAACTTTATTCAGCACAGAAACGGGTCACCCCCTGCACCCTCCCTCCAGTGCAGGATTTGCAGAGCGTTGCCATCCCACCTCCACACCTCCATTTGTTTGACTAATATTTTTAAAACGAAAAATACCGTAATTTGCCATTAACGTATTCCCCATTTAATGTGTTACCAGATTAATAGGTATGTTGGCTCCCATTAACATACATTACCATTTAATCAACAGTATTAAAATATTTTAAAGGTGCATTTTAGTGAAAGGTAGAAAGATCCTACAGCAACGGACAATAGAGGAGTTTGGATTCGTGTATCTGCTGACTACGAACCACAGTTAAAGAGCACAACTGTGGAAAACAAGTAGTGGAAAACAGTGCATAGGTGACCAAAAATACGGTTTTAAGAGCATAAAGTATAATTTCAATAATGAAGAATTTACACAACAGGAAGAAAACACAGCGAGCCAAGTAGTTCTCCACGTACGTGTTAATCGAACTCTTCAAACACGTAATTTTAAATAGACTGCTTTACCAAATTTCAAATTCATAATTGTTCCCTTTTTTTTTCTGTCAAGAAAGAATTGACTTATAGAACCATCCATACAACAAAAATCAGACAAAAAGAAAAGCGTAAACTCCTCCTGCTCCATCAGAACAACCCCAGCTGTCTGAATGATGCTTTTTCCCCTACGTTTTCTCACTCTGTGTTTTGAGATCAAACCCCTTTACCTTTTTCCATATAAAACCATGTAGACACTTCTAATCATTTTGGGGGATTGGTCCTTCAGGTTCCATCCCTGACCCTTCTCTCTGCTTTTTCTGTTTTGTTACATCCTTTTTCCCTCAAAACTGGATGCCGTGATTGAGAGCAGGGGATTTACAAAGCAGATTCATAAAGCCTTTGGAGCAGGCACAAGTAGAGGGAACAGGAAAGGATCTAGCACCTTGTCTGCAACATGAGCTCAAATCTTACAGAATAGGAGCAGCAATGAGAAGAAAACCTTGAAGATGAAAGGCGAAACGTGGAAAGCCCCAGCACAAATTAATCACGCCAATAAAAGACCATGGTTTTCTATTGTGTTGGGTCGGGAATTGGAAGGAGGAAGGATATCTAAATACCGGCCATCTCGAAGATTAAAATACAGCTGAAAGCTGCTCAAAATGCCTCGGAGAATCCCCAGGAACAGTGCGGGTAATGCAACCCAGCGGAGCAGACTGCAGGTCAGCCGCTAATTGATGGAGCTCGGCCAAGGAGTTTGGTAGCTACTTTGCAGCACGCTCTTGCCATATGGCAATGATAGTTGCAGGTCATTAGAGAGTTATCTCCTTAGCTATAAACTCTCTTCCATTATGCTCTAATTAAGTCGTGTCGTAGGCTTAGTTAGGCTACTGAACGATTCTGAGGAAATGAGTTTCAATTATTATTGCTTTTTTTAACAACCAAGGGCATCTTTAAGGTTAAAATGTTTTGTGCAATTTTTAAAGCTAGCAGTTCTATAAGTAAAAGCTATTTAAACAAATGAAGAAAACTGGGACATCTGGAAGATTTAATAATAAAAAATTCTTTCCTCATGAAAGCTTTGCTTTCTGCCTCTTCCTAAACAAAACAGTTTTCATAATAACTTGGCATTGCTATTTCCTAATACTTTAATTACCTTAAATCCAGCATCTCAGAGCTTGTTTTCAAATATTAAACACTTCCAGAGACGAACTGCATTCCTATAGAAAGCAGGAAGGTTAAGACTGCCCTTTGCAAATTCAGAAAATGTAAGAAGTCACAGTGCTTGGATACGTCTTCTCCTATCCTATCATGTAATTTGAAACATGTTTTGTTTTCATCTCATAAGTGTAATTAACAATCAGGAACTGGAAAAATGATCTATTTATCAGGAGGTAAAACGCGTTAGACTTACCACAACATCTGACCTCATCTTTCCAAAAGTCTTGATTAAATGAGCGTAGTGATAATCTTCCATTTGCCTTAAAATGGCAGTCATGCACGCAACGAAACTCCCCTGCAAAATAAAAATATACACAAATCAGTGAATTAGGACAGGGCAACGTACCACTTGGTGCCAATACATAATATTGCTGAGCACTGAGTAATGCAAGGACATAATCCTAGCATTTAAATTCGCTAATGGATATGCAAAATTCTGCTGAGAAAATAAAAAGCAAATTTGAAAGCCTGGTTCTTGACAAGTTTCTGTTTATTGGTTTCATGGCTTTACCAGCCTCTTCACTGAAGACTTTGCAACATATTCTTCATATAAAAATTGCTCAGGCATTAAAGGCTTTGGAAGGTAATAAATGCTATTGCCAAAAATGTAATACAATTTCAGTATTTGCATTTGGAAAGTCAATACCATGTTCAGGGAAGAAATGCCTTGGAAGTAATTCCAGTGAGCATCCCTCTCAAACCCCAAGTTTTAATTTCATTAAGTGGTATGTTCAGGCATGGTGATGCTTAGAAATGGATGAGAAAAAACATCAAGGGCCACAGAAATATGAGGGCAGTACTGAATGTATCTCTTTCTGAGAGAAACCATGAAAAAAACCAGAAAGAAATGACAAAAAATAGCCTTAATCTTCCATTTCTGGAACACAGAGACATCATTGTAAGTACCCAAAACCCCTATAATGTGAAAAAAAAACACAGTTATTGCTTCTGTAAGTTCCAATTTGATAAATGGTAAATTTGACTCGTGCAGACCCTGTCCAGCTCTATCTGCTGCCCAGAGGCTGATGGTTGCAGCAGGGAAGTCCGGAGAGTGCTGGGAAGCAATGAACAGAATTACTCGGAAAATACATTTGGAAAGTTTCTGGACTCTACATATAGTTCACAATAGTGAATACGTATTTCTGACTCGTTCCCAAGGAAATTCCACACCATGGACAGCATCACAGACCACACAGGCATTGTCTGTGCTTTCCCAGGCAGCCCAGAGGTTTCCTGGTTACTTTGTGGATCTGCATTATCCGCAGTGGAAGCATTTGTGAGTAGCTGAGACGAAGCCCAAGACGACGTTAGTTCCTGCGTGTGGAGCCACCTCATCTGCACCCTGCTCCCCCAGATCCCGACGGATAAATTCCCTCCTTTGCAGAGGGAGTTTCTACCCGAACTCCCGCCCAGCAGCTGTTGTCTGTTGTAGAAAGTTACTTTTTCTCTGCTATGCCAATGTACCTGATGAGTCTTTCAGCACAGGCTAATGATATAAATACAAAAGGGAAAGGCGACCAAGGACCAGGACATTAAATTGGCCATTTACGACCAGGCTGAAGGCATAATTCAGCCCATCATTTAAAAAAGGTTCTGCAGATGGTTTGTAAATGCCCAGGAGAACTGACGACAACCTTTGCTCTGCTCAATGTGCCTTCTTACAGATCATCATTTACTCAAATAATCTGTAAATTCCCTTGTTTTTGCAAGCACAGAAATGTATACTCAGCTTCCTCCACATAGAAATGTCACCTGCACTCGTGCAAATCCAGTCCTTTCCACTTAATCCATCAGCAAACACACAGCTTCTGCTTCTCTCTTATTTTTTTGCAAGAAAGCAGTTTCTATTCTGCAGGTTTGACCACAGCTCTGCGTTTATCTACCTGTGGCTGCTCTGTAATTGAAGTTTATGCACAGGCTGCAACAGGAGGAAGATGAGTTTCATATCTGAAGAAATTACTGTTAACCTTCTATATGAAAAAAAAAATCGTGATACAACTATGAAGTTTCTAAATGCATTTAAGTTTGCTTTTTTGATATAGTAACTATATTTCCTGCCTGCCTCCTCTCTAAGGACTCGTGTTTGCAACCGCGAGCGCTCCCCGCGTTCCCGCAGAGCCTCCTCCTCGTCCTGCAGCCGATTCCCGGCGGATTCCGGCCTGGCCTGAGGAGCTGGAGAGGCTCCGGAGTGCCTGGAAAGAGAGGACTGCAGAGGAGGATCCTCCTGATTCCCACATTGAGGATTAGGGAGGACACAGGGAGGCTCAATGCGTGAGTCCAGCTTTCCACCTCTGCACGGAGCAGGACAGGACAGCGCGAGCGCGTCTGAAAACTGCAGCGTTTGCTGGACAAATAAACACAGAAAAACAAACCAGCTTCGAAAAACACGAACGGAACATGACTGTGAGAGAATTCCTTGTCACATTTAAGTATTATTCTTAATACTTACACTACAGAAACTTGCACTCTTAATATTTAACACTACAGAAACTTGCTGTGCATTGTAATGGCAGCTTGGGCTGAGCTCCAAAAGGGGAGGCTCTGCGCAAACTTTCAAGGTCCTTGCAAAGTTAATCAACATTTTTTTCCTGGTTCCCTGCATAAAATAATGAAATATTCTCCTCTTAGTGTCATCTTCCTAATGAAACAACTTTTTAATTTGATCCAGTATTGCTCCTTTAAGCCTCCCCTGCAGAATACAGATCCAAACACGTGTGCGTCGCCACTGCAAAATTTATCCTCAGATGTCCACTGGTGGGAAAATCTATTAAATATTCCAGAAGAGTTTACCACGGGTCATACGTTTACTTTTCAAAATTTCCCTTGCATTTAGTGAGGTACCATGGCAGCCAGCGCGCTCTTAATTACAGTGCTAATAAAACTCTGCAATTGTTTACAGGCAATATTTGTACAGTAGGTGCTTTTTAGCACAGCCCATTAACTATTTAGCAATAGCTAACAACATTATTAAATTTTAATCCTAGGTTGATATTTAATGTCCATCAGATTCGGCGACTGTTGTCATCGTCTGCAGTGGGTCACTCCGAGCAATGCAAAGAACCAATATTCTACTAATTCTCCAAAAAATTGCCGTGGATTTCGGAGCATTCAGAGCGAGACAGGTCCCGCATGCAGTACACGGAGGCCCCTTCCATGCATTTGGGGAGCAGTTTAAGCCAACGCTGCTTTTCTCATGAGTAAAGAGATCCTACTTTAGGTTGCATGGCTGGCTCTCCTCCGCAGAAATCTCTAAGTTGGCCAAATTAAGCTCTTTGTGTATACAGAGAAAATCTAGGAGACATCAAAACCGCACGAAGTTCAGGGGTGTTTCATAGAAAAGCCTAGCTTGAGAAGTGCCCATGAAAGAAGAGCCCTACCCAAGTCCTGTCCCTAGGACGCCACTGGGAAGTCCCCTTTTGGCAGGTCCTATTTTGGCTGCTCTTAGCAAGGTGCTTCCAAGGCAGGCCAGGTCTGAGGGTTTCCAAACTTCCTTATGCCAGAGCTGCTCCAGCCACCCTGGGCTTCATTGTTATTTAGGTGTATTTTGTGTAACCTTTACCAAAAATGCTCATTATCCACCTAGTTTCTACCAACTGTGGAGCTGAGACATTTCCATTGGTGCAACACCTGCAGTTCTTCCAAACCTCTTTGAAAAGCATTTGGGGGGACAAGGAGGTCCCACCTGAGGCTTCCACGTGTGGATGAGTCGAACAAGGAACATAAGCACGAGGGGCTGCTTCCAATGTGTGTTAAGGTCACCAGAATAAGAATATTGCCTTGCTTTATATGCAGTCCTAGCTGATTTCAAGGATTTTGGGTAAACAGCATTAAACATTTATATCAACGTCTGATGTGCTAATGATCTGAGCAAAAATGAAAACTGGAGACACGACAGCAGCCACCAGCGCGGAGCCCCGCGCGCCGCTCCGGCTGCCGCTCCGTGTGCCTGGAACGGGGAGGCTCCCGCGGAGCTTCCC